CAATATATATCATTTTGGTGCTGAGAACAAGCTCTTTTGAGGTAGGCCTGTGGTCATCTACAAATTAGATAAAAATAGAGAAGGCAAGCATGAAGATGAAGTTGTTTGTATGTTTGTCAGTCCCTTTTCTGGATTGTTATAATTTTCTCTAGAGTTCTGATTTTATTTGGGGTATGTTATATTTAACGTTTTCCCTCAGTACATAAAAATACACACAAATGAGTCAAACAGTGAATAAAAATTTTGGGAATAGAATACCATGCCAGACTTTCATTAATTTGAGTGTAGGACACACTCGTGGGGTGAAAGATTTCTGAAATCAGAATTTATTACTACTTTGGGCTGGGTGTGGTAGTTCACGCCTATAATCCCAGGACTTTGGGAGGCTGAGGTGAGAGGATCACCTGAGGTCGGGAGTTCAAGACCACCCTAGGCAAACCCCATCTCAAGTAACAATACAAAAATTAACTGGGCATGATAGTGGGTGCTTATAATCCCAGCTATTTAGGAAACTGAGGTTGGAAGATCACTTTAACCTGGGAGGTAGAGGTTGCAGTGAGCTGAGATCACGCCACTGCACACCAGCCTGGGGACAGCAGAGCAAGACTGTCTCAAAAAAAAAAAGAAAAAAGAATGTATTACTACTTTGGTCTAGTGATAATAATTGGGTAAACTCTCCATCCCTTTTCATTTTCTTTTATTTATTTATTTATTTAATTAAATTAATTAATTTATTTTTGAGACAGGGTCTTATTCTGTCACCCAGGTTGAAGAGCAGTGGCATGATCATCGCTCACTGTGGCCTCAACTTTCAGGCTCAAGGGATCCTCCCACCTCAGCCTCCCGAGTAGCTGGGAGGTGTGTGGTGTGCCACCACACCCAGCTAATTTTTAAGTTTTTTTTTTTATGTAGAGACAGGGTCTCCCTATGTTGCCCAGGCTGGTCTTTTTAAAATTTTAATATTTTTCCCTTCATTTTCTCTAGCTACCATGCTGCACCTTTTTTTTTTTTTTTTTTGAGACAGAGTCTTTCTCTGTCACCCGGGCCACAGTGCAATGGCATGATCTCAGTTCGCTGTAACCACAGCCTCCTGGATTCAAGCAATTCTCCTGCTTTAACCTCCTGAGTAGCTGGGATTACAAGCATGCACCACCATGCCTGGCTAATTTTTGTATTTTTAGTAGAGACGGATTTCACCCTGTTGGCCAGATTGGTCTTGAACTCCTGACCTCAGGTGATCCGTCCACCTCAGCCTCCCAATGTGCTGGGATTTCAGGCATGAGCCACTGTGCCCAGCCCATGCTGCACTTTTACAAAGGCTCCAGTCTTATCTCACTGTTCTGTAATCCTCCCAGCTGGAGATAACTACTATTAAAATTTTACTATTTCTCCCTTCATTCTTTTTATGTGAGTACATATTAAATAGGAAATTTCTGTAATAACGAAACTCAGGTAATTAAAAATAATTTTTTGTTTTCATATTATACTTCCCATCAAAGATTTGGAAACGCTAGTTTCTTTCTTTCTTTCTTTCTTTTTTTTTTTTTTTTACAAAATGCAAACAGAAAAATAACAACTAAATCAAAAAGTGCTAATTAATAAATATGTTCAAATGTACAAAGAGGCTGGACACTGTGGTTCATGCATTTCATCTCTGCACTTTGGGAGGCTGAGGTGGGAGGATCACTGGAGGCTAGGAGTTTCAGACCAGCCCTGGTAACATAGCAAGACCCTGTCTCTACAAAAACATACAAAAATAAGCTGGGTGCAGTAGTGACCACTTGTAGTCCCAGCTACTTAGGAGGCTAAGGCAGGAGAATCACTTGCGCTCAGCAGTTGGAGGCTGCAGTGAGCTATGATTGCATCACTATACTCCAGCCTGGGCAACATAGCAAGACCCCATCTCTAAAATTGCTTTTTCTTTTCCTTTTTTTTTTTTTGAGACAGTCTCACACTGTCACCTGAGCTGGAGTGCACTGGTGCAGTCTCAGCTCACTGCAACCTCCACCTCCAGGGTTCAAGCAATTCTCCTGCCTCAGCCTCCTGAGTACCTGGGACTATAGGAGCCTGCCACCATGCCCAGCTAATTTTTTGTATCTTTTTTAGTAGAGACTGGGTTTTGCTATGTTGGTTAGGCTCGTCTTGAACTCCTGACCTCGTGATCCACCCACCTCAGCCTCCCAAAGTGCTGGGATTATAGGCGTGAGCCACCTCACCTGGCCTAAATTTTTTTTCTAATGCCCAAAGAGTTGTACTTGCATGCACAGATGGAATAAACCCCACCAGTGTGTACCCAGAATCCAAATAATATAATTAAAATTTATTATAAGTAAAGACCAAGATTATTAGGTTTCACGTAAGCGTATGACCTGGCACTTCTCGTGTTAAATAGATATGGTGCTTCTTTATTGCTACTTACTGTCTGTTAACAGACATTCTGAAATGAAGTCCCTAAGATCAGGTTGGAAGAATAAAAACGTAGTATACTATTATTTGAAATGGACAATAATAATTGTCCATTTCAATTGTACTTCAAACAGTAGAATGAATAACACTTATGAATAACCAACTATAATTCTAGCTATGGAAAATCCGGCTGGGTGCAGTGGTTCATGCTTGTAATCCCAGCACTTTGAGAGGCCCAAGGTGGGTGGATCACTTGAGGCCAGGAGTTTGAGACCAGCCTGGCCAACATGGCAAAATCCCGTATCTACAAAAAAATACAAAAATTAGCCAGGTGTGGTGGTGCACGCCTGTAATCCCAGCTACTCCAGAGGCTGACGTGAGAGAATTGCTTAAACTTAGGAGGCAGAGGTTACAACGAGCTGCAATCGTGCCACTGCACTCCAGCCTGGGCAACAGAGTAAGACTCTTTCTCAAAAAAAAAAAAAAAAAAAAAAAAAGTCATATGCTGAGAGTGATACTGAAAAAAAAAAAAACAACAAAAGTTTGTCCCTGTCCCCCTAAAGTCATTTTGAGGCCCCCTACTAGTATGTGTCCCATACTTTGAGGAACTGCATTTAACATGACCCTCCGAAAAACAGAGGTTCAAAAGCCACTCAGCTAGTTAGCTGGCCAGAAGCAATCTGGAAGAGCCCCAACGCCTCCTGTGAGCTGGATGGTTCAGTAAAAAGCGTGAGCTTTTATACAAGCACTCCAGAAAATGCCCCGATTGTTCCCAACAGTCCTCAACTCGCAGGGTTAGCTCAAGAAAAGAGCTTAAATGTGCACCTGGAAACCAGCCTGGTGAGAATTTCCTGGCTTAAGACTGCCCAGCCTTCATGACAGCCCTGTAACAGAATCCCAGAGGCTAGCCTCAAATGCGAAGGCAGGTCTAGGCGTGCTGGGCTCAGGTGGATCGCCTAAGAGCCAGGAAACCCGTGGCTGAGAAGGAGAAGGGGGAGGTGTCAGAGGGTTGGGTGAGAGCAGGTGAGCCTTTCTGAGAGCTTCTTTCTTTCTTTCTCTCTCTCTCTCTTTTTTTTTTTTTTTTTTTTTTTTTTTTTTTGAGAGCTTGTTTCTCTAAGAAGATGGTTGGGCATGGTGGCGCATGCCTCTGATTGGGTTAGAATCCCAGCAGTTTGGGAGGCTGAGGCAGGCGGATCACCTGAGGTCAGGAGTTCTAGACCAGCCTGGCCAACATGGTGAAACCCTGTCTCTACTAAAAATACAAAAAGTAGCCAGGCATGGTGTCGGGCACCTGTAATTCCAGCTACTCGGCAGGAGAATCATTTGAACCTGGGGGGTGGAGGTTGCAGTGAGCCGAGATCATGCCACCGCACTCTAGCTTGGGTGGCAGAGTGAGACTCAGTCTCAAAAAGGAAAAAAAAAAAAAAGAAAAAAGACTTGAAAATGTGTTTGTTGTGGCTCACACCTGTAATCCCAGCAATTTGGGAGGCTGAAATGCGAGGACTGCTTGAGACCAGCAGTTCCAAATCAGCCTGGGCAATATAGTAAGACCCCACCCCTCCCCCTGCTGCCCCTCCATCTCTAATAAACAATAAAAAGTAGGGCGTGGTGGCTCGCACCTGTAATCCCAACACTTTGGGAGGCTGAGGTGGAAGGCTTGTTTGAGCCCAGGAGTTTGAGATCAGCCTGAGCAATGTACTGAGACCTCACCTGTACCCACAATACAAAAGTTAGCTGGCTATGGTAGTGCATGCCTGTAGTCCCAGCTATTTAGGAAGCTGAGGTGGGAGGTTGGTTTGAATCCAGGAGGCAGAGGTTGCAGTGAGCTGAGATATTGCCACTACCCTCTAGCCTGGGCAGCGGAGAGCCAGACCTTGTCTCTAAATAAATAAATAAATAATAAAGAGGAAATGGATTCGTTTGTACTAACCTGGAATCGCAAGTCTCTTCTTAACTTCATAGACGGCTCGGGACACATAATTTGTCTTGCCTTGTATCTTTTGCTTTTAATTAACAGCAAAGTGTCTAACACATGCAGAAAACACATCTGTAAGAGTGACTGGCTGCACGCGGTGGCTCACGCCTGTAATCCCAGCACTTTGGGAGGCCAAGGTGGGTGGATCATTTGAGGTCAGGAGTTTGAGACCTGCCTGGCCAACATGGTGAAACCTCATCTCTAATAAACATACAAAAATTAGCGGGGTGTGGCGGTGCCTGCCTATAGTCCCAGCTACTCAAGAGGCTAAGGCAGGACAATAGCTTGAACCTGGAAGGCAGAGGTTGCAGTGAGCTGAGATCGCACCACTGCACTCCAGCCTGGGCAACAGAATGAGACTCTGACTCAGAAAAAAATTTGTTTTCTATTAATTTCAGAGTTAGAAGATTTGCTGAGAAAAATCCTAGCCTGACAATGGCATTTATTTGTGACTTTCAAGAAACAACAACAAAACCCTCTAAAACCTGATTTCCTTGTTCACTCAAGCGTAACAGCAGCATGGCCCACTCCGAGCTTGGTGGGACAGAAATCTTGGTCCCCAGCTTGCTTGAGTGTCGTGCTGAGAAAAAAACACGCCCACACATCAGCAGATGATGAGAAGCCTGCCTTTATTGGATGATTTTTAGAGGCATTGCCTTTGGGGACTGGGGTGGGGGTGCTTACAGAAGTCATCAGGGCATATCCACCACCAAAAATGAGCAAACCGCAGAAGGTTTTCAGGGAAAATTAACAAATTAGGTAGGGTAGGATGCGGGTTTCCCCATTCCCAGGGTTTTGGAATCCTTCCAGGTGACTATACCTTTCTCTCTTTTCTCCAATGACTGGGGCGTATTAAGAACGCACCATTTCCTGGAATTCTAGAACAGAAGAGGTGAGAACAGGGTCAGTGGAGGTGGCTTGGTTCGTCACAGACATGCCGTGGTCAATGAGAATTCCAGAGGCCTGGCGCAGTGGCTCACGCCTATAATCCCAGCACTTTGGGAGGCCGAGGTGGGTTGGTCACCTGAGGTCTGGGCCTGGAGACCAGCCTGGCCAATGTGGAGAAACTCTGTCTCTACTAAAAATACAAAATTAGCTGCACATGGTGGCGCATTCCTGTAATCCTAGCTACTCGGGAGACTGAGGCAGGAGAATTGCTTGAATTCAGGAGGTTGCAGTGAGCTGAGATCAGGCCATTGCACTCCAGCCTGGGCAACCAGAGCAAGACTCTGTCTCAAAAACAAACAAACAAACAAACAAACAAACAAACAAAAAGGGAGTGGGGATTCCAAAGAGAAAAGGAAGGGAAGAAATTGTCAGATGATGGGCATGGCACCCCTTGGAGGGCACAAAAGAAAGAAAAATGTGGGTATCAATGACTACATCTCGAGGGAGTCCGAAGTGTTCCATTTCTCTGCAGATTCTTTTTTTTTTTTTTTTTCTTGAGATGGAGTTTTGCTCTTATCCAAGCTGGAGTGCAGTGGCGTGATCTCGGCTCATTGCAACCTCCACCTCTCAGGTTCAAGCGATTCTCCTGCCTCAGCCTCCCGAGTAGCTGGGATTATAGGCATGCACCACCACACCTGGCTAATTTTGTATTTTTAGTGGAGACGGGGTTTCACCATGTTGGTTAGACTGGTCTCAAGGTCCCGACCTCAGGTGATCTGCCTGCCTTGACCTCCCAAAGTGCTTGGATTACAGGTGTAAGCCACCACAGCTGGCCTGCATAATCTTATGTAATAAACATCTTCAGCTTTGCAATAGAAGCCTTTGAATTAGAATTTGTCAAGCCCATCATTTCTCCCTGACAATGAATGAATTCAGTGTAATTACCTATGACCATCTGCGAACATTTAACTTTTTGTCTGATCAGTTTCAGACAGAAAAGGGAGATTTTCTCTCTCTATTCTGTAGCTGGGTATTGCATTTTTGTGACACATTTGATAGGATGGGACTTTAAACTGACTTTCCTTGACCAAACCTACCTACAAAATTTCTGTTACTAAACGAAGGATAATAATAGCAAGATATGGATGCTACGGATTAAATAAAAAACTGGGGATTTGCTTCATATTTAAAGGTAAGCTTTTTCTATTCGAAAATCTTTCGTGGTATGTTTATCCTTTTTTTGGGGGGACAGAGTTTTGCTCTTGTTGCCCAGGCTGGAGTGCAATGGTGGGATCTTGGCTCACTGCAACCTCCACCTCCCAGGTTCAAGTGATTCTTCTGCCTCAGCCTCCCGAGTAGCTGGGATTACAGGCTCCCACCACCATGCCTTGCTAATTCTTTGTATTTTTTTTTTTTTTTTTTTTTTTTTGAGACAGAATTTCGCTCTTGTTACCCAGGCTGGAGTGCAATGGCGCGATCTCGGCTCGCCGCAACCTCCGCCTCCTGGGTTCAGGCAATTCTCCTGCCTCAGCCTCCTGAGTAGCTGGGATTACAGGCACGCACCACCATGCCCAGCTATTTTTTAATATTTTTAGTAGAGACAGGGTTTCACCATGTTGACCAAGGTGGCCTCGATCTCTTGACCTCGTGATCCACCCGCCTCGGCCTCCCAAAGTGCTGGGATTACAGGCGTGAGCCACCGCGCCCTGCAATTCTTTGTATTTTTAATAGAGATGAGGTTTCACCATGTTGGTCAGGCTGGTCTTGAACTCCAGCCTCAGCCTCCCAAAGCGCTGGGATTACAGGCATGAGCCACCACGCCCAGCCCGTGGTTATGTTTAAATAAGTCAATTTCCCCTTACCTAATCTGTTTTTATGAGCTATCTATATACTCTGCATTAACTCCCATGTAGTAAGTGATAGTGGTATAATTTTGAACAGCTTTTTTTTAGATAAGCATCTAATGTAGCAGTTTTAAATTTCAAATTAGCACCACCAGAAGGACCACCATACGTTCTCCTGAGTTGGCAGGCACAAAGTAGCTAAAAAGCACACTAGCAACATGACAAAATCAGGTGAAAATAGTCCTACAGCTGTGCTAGTGTTTTCTAAAGCTCAAACCTAGGATTCTGCCTATGGAAGACTCAATAAATGAGGTTGGCTTATTTGTTCTCTATTTAATATTACCTGCTTGGCAGGCTAATGTCCAGTAAAATATGTTTGTCTAAACCAGGCGTCCCCAAACTACGGCCCGCGGGCCGCATGAGGCCATTTATCCGCCCCCCCGCTGCACTTCAGGAAGGGGCACCTCTTTCACTGGTGCTCAGTGAGAGGAGCACAGCATGTGGCGGCCCTCCAACGGTCTGAGGGACAGTGAACTGGCCCCCTGTGTAAAAAGTTTGGGGACGCCTGGTCTAAATCCTTGAAAACGAAGAGACCTCCCTACGCAAGCCAATGGACTCTGGTCTGAGGATGTAAATCTGTCCCTTATTTAGAGGGGTTCAAACCCCACTGGTGGAAATTCTTTGCGTTACGTGCAAGGTGCATTACAGTACCTTGGAAATAATTTACCAGGTGGCTAGCTAGTCCCCTGGTCAGGTGAAGGGTATTTTGGAGCTCACAGACGATGACAGTTGCGACCAGCTTCTATAGTACCTACTGAGCATTATGCCAGGGTTTTTGCACACATCATTTGCATCCTTACTTCAGTCCCATTTTACAGATGGGAAGACTGAGGCTCGAAAAGGTTAAGAAAAGGAGATTTTAAGCCACATCGGTTTAATCTCACAGCCCAAACCCCCATGGATGCTCTCTGAGCTAGAGTGGGTTTTTTTGTTTTTTTTTTTTTTTGTTTTTTCTGAGATGGAGTCTCACTCTGTCACCCAGGCTGGAGTACAGTGGCATGGTTTTGGCTCATGGCAACCTCCACCTCCCAGGTTCAAGTGATTCTCCTGCCTCAGCCTCTCGAGTAGCTGGGACTACATGCGCGCACCACCATGTCCAGCTAATTTTTGTAGTTTTAATAGAGAAGGGGTTTCACTGTATTGGCCAGGATGGTTTCTATCTCTTGACCTCATGATCCACCTGCCTCGGCCTCCCACAGTGCTGGGATTACAGGCATGAGCCACTTCGCCTGGCCTAAAGTGTGTTATGCTACATACAGGTGTGGACATACCCTCTGCCCCAATCTTTCCATCTCCGTCATTATCCGCAGCTGCCATCAAGGACTTGGTTTCTGACTCGGTCAGTTCTCTGGCACCACTCTCAAACTTCTGGAGGAAAAACCTACAGGATGATAAAGATTGATGGGGAAAGATCATGCATCCCTGTGTTTACATTTTTTTTCCCCTTTAAGCAAATCATCTGTTTCCAGCAGTTGTGATAATTAGCTAAGGTCTCAGCAAGCAAAGGTTTCCTTAAGCTGTAGAAACCCATGGTGGGCATTTCATCTTTAAGGTTATTTATTTATTCATTTTGGCAGGATTTTGCTCTGTCACCCGGGCTGAAATGCAGTGACGCCATCATGGCTCACTGCAGCCTCAACTTCCTGGGCTCAATCAATCCTCCTGTCTCAGCCACCAGAGTAGCAGGAACTACAGGCGCACCCCACCCTGCCCCACTAACAATTGTATTTTCGGTAGAGATGAGGTTTTGTAATGTTGCTCAGACTGGTCTTCAACTCCTGGACTGGCTCAAGCAATCCGCCCACCTCAGCCTCCCAAAGGGCTGGGATTGTAGGTGTCAGCCACTGTGCCTGGCCCATTTTTAAGTTTTTAGTGTCATTCATTCATTCATTTATTTATTTGAGATAGAGTCTTATTCTGTCACCCAGGCTGGAGTGCAGCTGCACGATCTCGGCTCACTGCAATCTCTGCCTCCCGATTTCAAGCGATTCTCATGCCTCAGTCTTCGAGTAGCTGGAATTACAGGTGTGAGTCACCACATTTGTCCATGTTTTAGTTTTTTAAATTCCAATTGCCAAAGGAAATATTTTACACTAAGGAATCTTTGTGGCTGGGTGCCATGGCTCACACCTGTAATCCCAGCACTTTGGGAGGCTAAGGCAGCTGGATCACTCGAAGCCAGGAGTTTGAGACCAGCCTGGGCAATACGATGAACCCATCTCTACTCAAAATATGAAAATTAGCTGGACGTGATGGGATGCATCTGTAATCCCAGCTACTCAGGAGACTAAGGTGTGAGAATTGCTTGAGCCAAGATCACACTAGTGCACTCCAGTCTGGGCGATAGAGCAAGACCCTGTCTCAATAATAAATAAAGAAATAAAAGAAGAATCTTTGCACCTGCAGTCTTCACTGCCCATGTTGAGTGCTTTGCGTGGGTAGATGTGTGGTCAACTGACTCATGTCCTTTGCTTTAATGATGCTTGACCGAATGACCAACACCAAGGCTGACCACTGAAGAAATACGGAACAACCTGGCCCCCACTGTGCCCCAGACCCACCCAGCAGTGCCGGGTACCAGGCAGACTCAGGACAAAGCTTACTTAAGCTCTTCTTCATCCAGGTACCCGCTCTGGTCATTGTCTATGAACCGGAAAACATCCTTCACCTGACTGGCTGACATCTTGGAGAGGCCTGATGTCTGGAAGAATTTTTGGGGTTCAAAAGTGTCTGGGTCTGAAGAACAGAGAAAGGGTTATTCTGACACTCAATGGATCACATTCTATATTGGCGTCAAGGTACTGAAAACACAGGTGATTAAAAATACTTCTACAATATCCCTGAGCTACAGGGATACTCAACTGCTCCAAGATTTTGGGATAGCCAAGACTTGATGGCTCTGTGACAGCATCCCCTGTCCCCACTACCCCAGCCTTCCCTCCTCCGCTTGGTTTCGTCCATTTCCCTTTTCCTTCCTCCTCTCCTCTGCACCTCCCCGCCGCCCCCAGCCCATTTCACAGGCTGTGTATCCAAGTCCCCAACATCCCTGGTCTAATTGGTAGGAGAAAATGCAATCACTGGATTCCAACAGGCTAAATGGCCATCAGCGATTTCTTTTTCTTTTTCTTTTTTTTTTGAGATGGAGTCTGGCTGTCACCAGGCTGGAGTGCAGTGATGCAATCTCAGCTCACCACAACCTCTGCCTCCAGTATTCAAGCGATTCTCCTGCCTCAGCTTCCGGAGAGTAGCTGGGACTACAGGCAGGCGCCACCATGCCCAGCTAATTTTTCTATTTTTAGTAGAGACGGGGTTTCACCATGTTGGCCTGGATGGTCTCGATCTTTTTGACCTGGTGATCCACCTGCCTTGGCCTCCCAAAGTGCTGGGATTACAGGTGTGAGCCACTATGCCCGGCTGATTTCTTTTTTTCTTTGAGACGGAGTCTCACTGTCACCCAGACTGGAGTGCAGTGGCGAGATCTTGGTTTACTGCAACCTCCGCCTCCCGGGTTCAAGCGATTCTCCTGCCTTAGCCTCCTGAGTAGCTGGGATTACAGGCATGCACCACCACACCCAGCTAATTTTTGTATTTTTAATAGAGACGGAGTTTCACCATGTTGGCCGGGATGGTCTTGAATGCCTGACCTCAAGTGATCCCCCCACCTTAGCCTCCCCAAGTGTTGGGATTACAGGCATGAGCCACCCCACCTGGCCCTTCAGTGATTTCTTGCTTTCACTTTTAGTAAGGTTTTGTCTTACAGAAGTGTAATCATGTGCTCAGATGCCAGATCTCCATAATTTTATTTATCTAATAAATAGCAGTTTTCTTCTCCAATTCCATGAATTTTCCAGCCAAGCTCACATTTCTACTGTTATTTATTTATTTAGAGACAGAGTCTCACTCTGTCATTCAGGCTGGAGTGCAGTGTAGCGATCATAGCTCACCACAGCCTCAACCCCCGGGCTTGAACGATCCTCACCCCTCAGCCTCCTGAGTTGCTGGGACCACAGGTGCATGCCAACATGCCCTGCTAATTTATTTTTATTTTGTAGAGACAGAGTCTTGCTATGTTGCCCAGGCTGGTCTCAAACTCCTGGGCTCAAACAATCCTCTCACATTGGCCTCCAAAAAGTGTTGGGATTACAGATGTGAGCCACCATGCCTGACCTACATTTTTTTTTTTTTTTTTTCAGATGGAATCTTGCTCTGTTGCCCAGGCTGGAGTGCAGTGGTACAATCGCAGCTCACTACAACCTCCACCTCCCGGGTTCAAGCAATGCTCCTGCCTCAGCCTCTCGAGTAGCTGGGATTACAGGTGCCCGCCACCATGCCCATCTAATTTTTGTATTTTTAGTAGAGATGGGGTTTCACCATCTTGGCTAGGCTGGTCTTGAACTCCTGACCTCATGATCCACCTGCACTGGCCTCTCAAAGTGCTGGGATTACAGGTGTGAGCCACCATGCCCCACTGCCTACCTACATTTTGATATTTTGTTGATTCATTGGAGGTGCAAAGGTGTGAGGAAACCCTGCCCTGCCCACTTCCCTCTACCTTGGCATTCCCGCAGGGCTGCTGCGATGTCGTCAGCACTGAGCACGTCCGTGATGCTCATTTTCCACCTGGTCACACAGAATAAACAAGGTACGATAAGCCACAAACAGGAACGTGCACACCAGGGGAAACACACCTTCCCAGGCGCATTGACACTGTATGCCTCTCTAGATTTTTTTTTTTTAATTGAAACGGAGTCTCACGCTATTGCCCAGGTTTGAATGCAGTGGCGCGATCTTGGCTCACTGCAACCTCTGCCTCATGGGCTCAATCTCCTGCCTCAGCCTTCTGAGTAGCTGGGATTACAGGTGTGTGCTACCACACCTGGATAATTTTTGTATTTTTAGTACAGACAGGGTTTCACCATGTTGGTCAGGCTGGTCTTGAACTCCTCACCTCAGGTAATCTGCCCACCTCAGCCTCCCAAAGTGCTGGGATTACAGGCATAAGCCACTGCACCTGGCCTGTATAGGCTTTTTAAGATGTGATAAGCATTGTTTTGTATTAAGTGACCAGGGTATCCAAATTGAAACCAGATACCTAAAAGACCCCAGCCCCTTTTGTCTCAGAGCCTTCCCTTAAATATATGCCAAAAACGAAACAAAACAAAACAAAACAAAACAAAACAAAACCCTAAAACATAACCCAAAGAATGATTCAATTGTTTTCTTATAAAAATTATATTTACATAATCAGTCATTTACATAGGCAGCTATAAACTATGTTACAAATACACTGGCATTTTCCTACACCAGCCTGAGAGATGCAATGCTGCAAATTCCACCAAAGGATACAGTTTGGACTGCATGCAGACGTTTTGCGGAAGAAGGCATGCTATCTGTCCTGAAAGGTGGGAACCAGAAGAATGAAAAGCCATCTCCCAGAGATTAAAATCCTTCCCGGTGTCAAAGCCATGGGAAAAGAGGAGTCTACGCACCTAAGCATGCAGGAGCCTAATAGGAATACATGCAATGAAGAAGAGTCTGGGGTCTGGTGGGCCCACCAGTTACTCACCGTTTTAGGTTTTCCCCCAAGAAGAATCGGGAAAAAGAGTTGAAGGAGCAAAACAACAGATGTGCTTTTGCTACCTTACTGACCTACCTTATATAGGCTAGAAAAAGTGATAGTTAAAACCTCTTAGATTTCCTTTTCAAGGATCAAGTGGATGTAGCTCAAATGTCTTGTCTTACTCATGAAACCTCTTTTTTTTCTTCTTCTATTTATATCTCAAGGGAATGTGGGTGGGAACAGCCAATGGTAAAAAAAAAAAAAAAAAAAACCTCCACAAACCTTAACTAAGGTTTCAATTCTGCAAACCAACCCTGTTGGTAAAGTGTGGAGAAGGTTCTAGAAGCCTGGTAAGGTGGAGATGGTGGCCTGAACTAAGACAAACACATACAGGGGTGCTCTGCAAGCTGAAAAGCCCCCCCAGATGTTAGTGGCTACCGTTCGAGGTGGGACTGTTTTCAGCTTTGGAAACTCTGGATATGTAAAGCTGACCTCATCCGGAGTTGACAGACTCAGCGCTATTATCACTAAGTGCACACATAGGACTATCCGGCACATGAGATAGGGCTAGGTTATGTGATTTTTCCTATGAAAGTCTTGACTTTGACATTTCCCAGCTATACCATAAATTGCACACACTCAAAAGGCAAAAGGAGGAAATCAAACCACCATTCCCAACCCCTGAAAACTAACATTTCAGAAAACTAACATTTTCAGAAAAAAATATGATGAGGCTGAGGCCAGGACTAGAGACCTCAAGTTTTTGTTTTTGTTTTTGAGACAGGGTCTTGTCCAAGATGGAGTATAGTGGCATGATCTCGGCTCACTGCAGCCTTGACCTCCCAAGCTCAAGTGAAGTTCCCACCTCAGTCTCCCAAGTAGCTGGTTCTACAGGCATACACCCCCATGCCAGGCTAATTTTTAAAATATACATATTTTTTGGAGAGACAGTTTTGCCTTGTTGCCGAGGCTGGTCTCAAACTCCTGGGCTCAAGGAATTCTCCCACCTCAGTCTCCCAGTTGCTGGGATTACAGGTATGTATGAACCACCTCTCCTGGCCTTTTTTTTTTTTTTGAGATGGAGTCTCTCTCTCTCTCACCCAGGCTGGAGTGCAATGGTGTGACCTCTGCTCACTGCAACCTCTGCCTCCCAGGTTCAAGTGATTCTTCTGCCTCAGCCTTTGGGAGGCCCAGGAAGGTTGATCATGGGGTCAGGAGTTTAAGACCACCCTGGCCAAGATAGTGAAACTCCACCTCTGCTAAAAATTTAAAAATTACCTTGGTGTGGTGGTGGGTACCTGTAATCCCAGCTACTCTGGAGGCTGAGGCAGAGAATTGCTTGTACCCAGGAGGCAGAGGTTGCAGTAAGCCAAGATTACGCCATGCCAAGATTGTGCCATTGCACTCCAGCCTGGGTGACAGAGCGAGACTCAGTCTCAAAAAAGAGAGTTTGACTGCTTTATCTAGGGGCATCACATAAGTGGAATCACATAGTATTTGTCTTTTTCAGACTGGCTTATTTCACTGAGTATAATGTCCTCAAGGCCTCAAGGTTCATCCACGTTGTAGCATGTGTCAGGATCTCCTCCTTTTTTTTTTGAGACGGAGTTTCGCTCTTGTTACCCAGGCTGGAGTGCAATGGCGCGATCTCGGCTCACCGCAACCTCCGCCTCCTGGGTTCAGGCAATTCTCCTGCCTCAGCCTCCTGAGTAGCTGGGATTACAGGCACGTGCCACCATACCCAGCTAATTTTTTGTATTTTTAGTAGAGACGGGGTTTTATCATGTTGACCAGGATGGTCTCGATCTCTTGACCTCATGATCCACCTGCCTCGGCCTCCCAAAGTGCTGGGATTACAGGCTTGAGCCACCGCGCCTGGCGTTTTTTTTTTTTTTTTGAGATGAAGTCTTACTCTGTGTCACCCAGGCTGGAGTGCAGTGGCTTGATCTTGGCTCACTGTAACCTCCACGTCCCAGGTTCAAGCGATTCTCCTTGAATGCACACTAGGGTGCATACCATCCTGGTAGGAGAATATATTTGGGACAAAGTAAAGATTCCCACTGTGGTCAGGTGTGGTGGCTCACGCCTGTAATCCCAGCACTTTGGGTGGCCAAGGTGGGCAGATCATGAGGTCAGGAGTTCAAGACCAGCCAGACCAATGTGGTAAAACCCCATCTCTACTAAAAATACAAAAATTAGCTGGGTAATCGCAGCTACTTAAGAGGCTGAGGCAGAGAATTGCTTGAACCCAGGAGGTGGAGGTTGCAGTGAGCCAAGATGGTGCCACTGCACTCCAGCCTGGGCGACAGAGCAAGACTGCCTCAAAATCATAAAGAAGATGCCCACTGTTTTACCCAGGGAAGAGTCTGAGGTCTCACTCAGATATCCTGAATTGTCTACTTCTAAGCCGCTGTATGTTTCTGATTGCAACATGGGATTTATTTTTGCACTTTTTAAAAACTCAAGTCCAGGCAGGGGGGCTGGAGCCTGTAATCCTAGCACTTTGGGAAGCCGATGGGGGTGGATCGCTTGAGTCCAGGAGTTTGAGACCAGCCTGGGCAACATCGTGAGGCCCCCATTTCTACAAAAAAAAAAAAAAAACAAACAAACAAACCCCCAAAAAACCATTAGCCAGGTGTGGTGGTGTGTGCCTGTAGTCTCAGCATCCCAGGAGGTTGAGCTGGGAAAACTGCCTGAGCCTAGGAGGTCAAGGCTGCAGTGAGCCAAGATCATGCCACTGCACTCCAGCCTGGGCAACAAGAGCAAAACTCCATCTGAAAACCGAATACAAATAAAAAGCGAACAAAAAACTTGAATCTAGCTTTTAAAAAGGAGATCTTAGGCCAGGCGCGGCAGTGAACAGTTTCAGGGATATCTGCAGCCTCTCTTAAATGACCAAACCTTCAGCCAGCACCCTAGCTCTCTTGTCCACATTTTATTCCCCAGGTGCCTAGCACAGGACTGACCTAGGTTTAGACACTTAGCAGTTATTTGATGAATGAATAAATAAAAATAGCAAATAGGCCGGGCGCAGTGGCTCAAGCCTGTAATCCCAGCACTTTGGGAGGCCGAGGCGGGTGGATCACGAGGTCAAGAGATCGAGACCATCCTGGTCAACATGGTGAAACCCTGTCTCTACTAAAAATACAAAAAATTAGCTAGGCATGGTGGCACGTGCCTGTAATCCCAGCTACTCAGGAGGCTGAGGCAGGAGAATTGCCTGAACCCAGGAGGCGGAGGTTGCGGTGAGCCGAGATCGCGCCATTGCACTCCAGCCTGGGTAACAAGAGCGAAACTCCATCTCAAAAAAAAAAAAAAAAAAAAAATAGCAAATAGAAGTTGAAAATATAATTCCCAACCAGCATCACCTTGCCCAGCCCCTTAAAGAAGTTTCTGAAGATCGGGTGTGGTGGCCTGTAATCTCAGCACTTTGGGAGGCCGAGGTGGGAAGATGGCTTGAGCCCAGGAGTTCAAGACAAGCCTGGGCAATATGACAAGACCCTGTCTCTACAAAAAAACAATAATCCTAAATCAGCCCTGGCCAGGTATGGTGGATCATGCCTGTAATCTCAGAACTCTGGGAGGCCAAGGTGGGTGGATCGCCTAAGGTCAGGAGTTCAAGGCCAGCCTGGCCAACATGGTGAAACCCTATCTCTACTAAAAACACAAAAATTAGCCCGACATGGTGCTGCATGTAATCCCAGCTACTCCGGAGGCTGAGGCAGGAGGAACGCTTAGAACCCGGGGGGCCGAGGTTGCAGTGAGCTGAGAACCTGCCACTGTACTCTAGTCTGGGTGACAGAGCAAGACTCTGTCTTGAGAAAAAAAAAAAAAAATCAGCTGGGTATGGTGGCACATGCCTGTGGTCCCAGCTACTCAGGAGGGTGAAGTGGGAAGATTGATGGAGCCTGGGAAGTAAAGGCTGCTGTAAGTTACAATCGCACCACTGCACTCCAGGCTGGGTGACAAAGTGACAACTTGTCTCAAAAAAATAAAAAAGAAAAAAAAAATTTCTGAAAATAAGTCTTCAGAGTTTTGAATTAGGTTTCTGACATTAAGTTGCCATAGAAACTAGCTGAGCCCTTTCTTTTCTTGGGAGTGTTTACAATTGTCCATAGAGATAAAACATTTTTTTTAAAAAAATCTGCTCATTTAAATCAAAGTAGCATATGGGTTAAACCAAGATACTTTTTATGTCCATGCTATTCTTCTGATCTGGGCGCGGTGGCTCACACCTGTAATCCCAGTACTTTGGGAGACTGAGGTGGGCAGATTATCTGAGATCAAGAGTTCGAGTCTAGCCTGTCCAAAATGGTGAAACCCCGTCTCTACTCAAAATACAAAAATTAGCCTGGCGTGGTGGTGCGTAATCCCAGCTACTTGGGAGGCTGAGGCAGGAGAATTGGAAAAAGAAAAAGAAAGCAAAGGTAACAGAGGCCTGGCCAGGAGTGTTGGCTTATGCCTGTAACTCCAGCACTTTGGGAGGCCAAGATGGGAAGATTGCTTGAGCCCAGGAATTCAAGACCAAGATTTAAGATGTAGGGAGATTCCCATCTCTATAGAAAAATATTATGTTTATGTAAAATTTAAAAAGATAAATATTCAGTGAACATGTTTTCTGAATCAATGAGGCACTTAGGATTATGACTTGAATTTCATTATGTGCAATCTGAGCATTAGATATTTTCAGGTTGGTGTGGTGGCTCACGCTGTAATCCCAGCATTTTGGGAGGTCAAGGCGGGTGGATCACCTGAGGTCAGGAGTTCAAGACCAGCCTGGCCAACATGGCGAAACCCTGCTTTTACTAAAAATACAAAAAATTAAAAAAATAAAAAGGAAAGAAACCTTGAGATGTTTAGTCGAAAAAGGAAAAAAATTAGCCAGGCATGGTGGTTTGCATCTGTAATCCCAGCTACTCAGGAGGCTGAGGCAGGAGAATCACTTGAACCCAGGAGGAGGAGGAGGATGCAGTGAGCCGAGATGGTGCCACTGTACTCCAGCCTGGGTGACAGAGTGAGACTCCGTCTCAAAAAAACAACAACAAAAAATATTGATTCATACAAAGAGACAATGCTGTATAATTCCACTAATATGAGGTACCTAGAATATTCAAATTGACAGACAGTAGAATGGTGGTTAGCAGGGCTGGAGGGGATGGGTAATGGGAGTGAGTGTTTAATGGGGACAC